GCCCCCATTCACACAACAAAAGAGGAACACAAATCTCCAAAGGCCTATTTAAGTTCTAGGTAGGAGAACTGGGCAATCTATCACCAAATTCTTCTCTGAATTTTGGGAATATCGTAGCAGGGCTCCAAACTCTCCTTCTTAATCACTTGTTTCTGCTCCAGTTTCCCCACAACCAAATTCCCAGTTTAGAACATAGAGGTAATCCATTTAGCGAACTGAATGTGGTGCTCTCCACCTCCTGTTTGCTCAGTGTTATGGACGGGGTGGCATGAAAGCTCGTTTAGTCCTCAGAGCAGAAACAACACTTTCCTCACTGTTTGCAGATCCAGAACAGCGATGTGGGATGGACTCTGGGCTACATGCTGAACCTGACCAACAGGATCCCAGCTGAGCAGCCACTGTCTGCACCTCTCTCCTACTCCACCTATGTCTTCCTCATGGTCCTCTTCTCCCTGATCCTGGTCGCAGTGGTCATCACAAGCTTGCTCGTCTTTCGCCAGCCTTCGTATTTCTGGAAAGATGTGGTATAGCAGGAGCAGCTGAAATCTGCTGGCTGGAGTGAGGAAAAAACTTGCCCAGGGAGCACTTTCCTCCACAGTAGTGCACAAGGTCATCATCCTTCCTTGCTCACCAAGGCCAGTCTTGATCAACATGAAGCTTCCCTGGCTTTGCTGAAGCCTTTCCTTGGGAGATATTCACCACCTTCTGCCTCAAGGACTTCCTGGCAGACAGTGTCTCTTTCATCTTGCCTTTCCCAACTCCCTCTTTCTGTTTTGTACTCTGTGCTCGGCATAGGTCTTAAAAACCTACCACTTTTCATCTTTACTTTATAAATGACCAATACTGACTTTGTCCAGAAGAACAGAGTCCTGAGTCCTGTGCTGAGAAGTTGCGCTGGCTACAGAAGAATCTCAGCTGTATTCTTTCAGACACTTTCTCTCTCATTTCCCATTTATTAAGAAAGCCATATAATGCCTTTGGAGAGGGCAGACACCCATCCCATTCTCAGCCTGCCCTTTGCATAGGAGAATTTTCTATACTAGGCAAATATATGCTAGGGCCAAAGAGTCTTGCAATGGAATTTATGTGCTTGTGTGGTTAATACAATACTTACTCTAATCTGAAACAGGGATGTGAGTGAATCACATATTTCTGGGTGATGCCAAAATGCTACAGAGAGGAACACCCAGATCAGAGATTTTTAAAAAGCTGATGTACATATAGGCATTCAGATATCAGGGCACACTACATGGTAGGTATATACATGCCAGGAAAAAATATATAGTTACAACACAGGGCTGGGAAAATGCATCCTTCACTGCATATATCGGGGTTTTGTTTTTATTGTTGTAAAATTCAAATAACATAAAATTCACCCTTATAACACGTACAATTCAGTGACATTTAGTGCATTCATAATGTTGTGCAACCATCACTACTATCTAATTCCCGAGTATTTTTATCACCAAGAAATTGGCTAGAGACAAGACCATTCATTCCTGAGTAGGCTCAAACCACCTACCTTTCAGTTAATAGCCAAATATGCTAATCAACTGCACTACAAAGATGCTATTGCGTTTTAAAGCCATGCCATGTCTTATTGTCCCAGGGTTTACTTTAATGAGAGAGCTGCATTAGTGTAGAATGGTGTGTCTTTTCACAGTCGTGGTATTTACACATCAAAATGTGCCAGGAACCAGATCTTAAAATGTTGATGCTACCCCTGACATATAAGTATGAGTTCTATTTACTTATCCCACGGAATATTTTGTAGCTACGACCTTGTGATGAAAATATTAAGAGACCCTGTACCTTCTTCCCTTAAGAAATGCTACAAGAGTTACCTGTTGAGCAGGACAGAGTGGTGATGTGTTACTCTGACCTTCCCCCAGGCTCTCCATCTCTGTATCTGGGGATTGACTGCTGGTCTGGTAGAGGGCAGGGGGAGGAGAGGAGGAGGACAATCTCTCCCACAAACAGGATGTCAAATATCCCTACATCTCTTGAATAATCAAGTCACTGTTGACGACATCCAAGTGAATATAAGCTTAATAAAGCTGTGGACAGGAACATTTTCTTTTCTGATACAATTGAACTTGTTGTACCTTGATTGGGAATGAGAAGCCAAATTAGGACATGTTTAAACTCCTTCTAGTGGTAGTTGGTTATATTAGTGTAGTCAGTACTTATTGAGCATTTGTTGTGTACTATGCTGTGTGCCCAAGTGCATTACATTCATTTTCTCATTTAACCCTCACAACAATCTGTAAGTAGGTACTACCATTCCTCTTCACAGAAACAGAAACTGAGGTTCAGAGAGGTTAAGTCACTTGCTCAAATGGCTGAGCTAAAGCCTGGCATGCACTTAATCATTATTTTCTCTCTCAAATATACTTCTAGATTGCCTCCTTATAACTTCTAAGCATGCACTTAGCTCTGCATGAATACAGGGCTTATGGGCATGGTGAAAAGGAAAGTAGACAGATAACCTGTTTCCTGATGGACTTGTGACTTAATATTGCTTTAAGTTCACAGAGGCTGTAATGGTAAGTGTGACACTCTGTTTGTATACTTCGCACGGTAACAAATGTGCCGTATGATGCTAATCTATGATTCCCATACTCCTGGCTTCTTTACTGTTTGCTCACTGAACAGCAGTTCAGCATCAAATAAATAGTTGATAATGATGGAAAAAAAAATTCTTTAAGGAATTTGAGAGCCAAACTCCACTTATAAATCTCAAATCATGGAGATGATCGGCAAGTACAACCTAATCTTATTCCTGTTGGCGAGAAAGATGGTTTTGAGACACATCCAGAAATCTTCTTTGGGCCATTCTGGATGAGGAAAGCCAAATAAAGTTGATTACTATCAATCAGTTTTAACATTGGATTTCTCACTGGTTGTAAATGATTACCATTTTTTTCTGGACTTTCACCCAAATTTGGTTCTGGTGACCCCATTCCCTTAGAAAGTGGGAAACTTTATGAACCCAAAGGGGTAAAAATCAGAAGTGGTTATTTCTATGGACAAAAAAAGTGAAGTTAATTAGGGTGTGTGTGTGTGTGTGTGTGTGTGTGTGTGTGAGAGAGAGAGAGAGAGAGAGAGAGAGAGAGAGAGAGAGAGAGAGAGAGAGAGAGAGAGAGAGAGAGAGAGAGAGAGAGAGAGAGAGAGAGAGAGAGAGAGAGGGAGCAAGAGAGAGTGCAGTGCGCACAAGAGAAATATAAAAGTTTCACATTAACAAGAAATATAAAATGTGATATAAATAACTTTTAAAAGTATACTTCATTTTAATGTTGCATCGGTCAAGATCTCTGTAAGAAAAATATGGTACAATAAAACTGGGTAACTAAGGAGAGTTTAATAAAGTGACTATATCCAAAATATTAACATTTCAACATGTAGTTAATATAAACGTTATTAATGAGATGTTACAGCACATCTTAATCAGCACTGGCTACATTTCAAGTGCTCAACTGTCACATGTGACTAGTGGCTACCATACTGGACAGCACAGGTCTAAAAATACATTCAAAGCTAAAAGGACTCAGGCAATAATTCTTTGTCTTTCTCTTGAGGGAGGATTTTTTTAAAAAACAGTTATAGATGCTATAACATTCTTGCATTATTTATTATATATGAAGTTTACCATTATTCTTAAACAAGCTTTTAAGATCCTAGCTCTGAATTTCACTTTATTTCTCAGGTTCTTTTGCCTTTTTTGTGAAGACAGATGTCTGTTATTCAGGCCAATGTGCCTGATGAAAGACTTGGAAAATTTAATCTGGATCCAAAGATAATACAAGATAATTTCGATGCTCATATATATATTTTTTTAGGCGAGGTAACCCTTGGTTGACCTCACAGATTGCAAGGATCTTGTCAGCTTACGATTCCTTATTTTTTTATTTTTTTACACCTACAGCACCTGGTCTTCCTAGATGGTCTCCCATCCAAGTACTAACCAGGCCCGACCCTGCTTAGCTTCTGAGATCAGACGGGATCGGGCTTGTTCAGGGTGGCATGGCCATAGACACTGATGCTCATAATTTATAGTCAAAATGTATATACAAATATTAAAGATAAATCCCTTAATAGCTCACAGAGCAAAGTTTACCATAAAACAGTAAAATTACTATTAAAATATATTTTCATTTATTGTCAGTTTGAAAGAATTTCACCCAAATTGGTGTGGTCCCTCTCCAATTCAGATTTTAATAGTTGCTACAGTTGCTCCTAGTAAGCTGTGCTCATTAACCATGTGTTTCAGTTTGTGATGGTTTTAATTTTAAAATTTATGATAACAACCTCAAAGTTTCAGTGGCTTACCATAGTAAACACTGATTCTCATGTTCATGGGTCTGCAAGTCAGCTGGGTAGTTCTACTTCAGGCAGTAGGTTCAGGCCTGCTCCATGTGTCTCACATTCTCCTTGTCTGGTGGCTTCCTGAGCCATGTTCTCATGCTGAATGGTAGAGGCACAAGAGAGTGAGAGGAAACACAGAATGCCTCTTAAGGCCTTGGCCAGGACGAGCCCCCAATCATATTCTATTGACCAAAATAAGTCAAATGACCAACCTTAACATTAGCAAGTTGGAAAAACACTGGGAGGAATGGCAAAGTCATATGACAAAGGACATGGATGATTAATTCTAACACAGGAGTGAAGCATTGGGCATAAGGATTCAATCTACCACAGTGTCTCATTAACCAATACAATTAAATGTAAAGTGTGTTTGCTGTAAATTACAATCTATCTTGCCAAGGAATATTCTTTTAAAAATATGTCATTGCTTCCAGGATGACATCGGTCTGCAACTTCTTTCCATGGCCTTAACCCAGGATGCTCAGCAGCTCCCAAATTAGCCCGACATTCTAAAATGGTAGATTTCCTAAGAGACCATGCATCTATTTATTTTCCTTATTTTATATGTTTAGAACAATATAGTTAACTACCCAGGTTTTTATGTGCACATTAATCTAATACAACTGAACAGGTATAATGGGTTTTTTAATAATGGGGAAAGGAGTGTCTCAAGAGCCTTTTCTTTAGAAAAGTGGCTTTTAAAAAGAATGTACACGTGGTAAAAAGCATTGCTATACCTTTTGCATTTATCTATTTTAAATAATTTATAAATTTAAATCGATGATACAAATGATGGCATCACCCTCATCAGCACCTGAGTTGACTTTTTGTTTTTATATTCTTTTTGTCTATATATTGAATAAGAAAGCTCACCAGAGAACATGGATGAGTCAATGACAAGTGAGACACAGTCACCTAAGAAACAACATTACTCCTTATAGTCTAAGAAGAGGAGGAGGAAAATCTTGGGAGCTATGCAGGGATTAGAGTGTATTTAGGATGACCTAAACTGAACTTTACTTTTCTTCCTAAACCTGCCCTCCTCTCCTGCATTTTATCATGATTAATACCATTTCCTTAAGTGACCAAGATCAGAATCAACTTCAACAGGACCTGCCAATTTTGCCTTTGCAATATGTTTCATTTGGATTCTCCTTCCCAATCTTATTGTTATCTCTCCAGTAAAGACCTGATACCCGGAATGGTGGTCTTGTCTCCAATCTATTAGTGCCAGATTCGTCTTTATAAAAAGTAGGTTTAATCACATTGCTCTTCAACTAAAAGTGTTGGAGGCTTTCCATCGCCTACAAATTAGGTTAAACTCTCCAACGGACATTCAGTCTTTTGATCCATGCCTGATTTTTCACCTGACACCGTTCAGGTTATTTGCTAAACTTGAACTACCTTTGCCCCACTCTACCTGCAATGCTCAGCTCAAATGCTCCTTCAGTGAAGTCTTCTCTAAATCTCCAAGGTAGAATAAACTGCTTCTTCCCTGTGCTACCACAGCCCTTTCTTTACCTGGGCTTCCAGTAGAGCATTCGGACCATTCTATTCAGTGTCTGGGTTAAGCTCTTTGGGGGCAAGATCTGTGACCTATCTCTTTCTGAAAACTTGGGATCAGGGGTATATTAGGATGAAACAACTAACAGTCCTAGTTAATCTCCCTGTTAACTGTCAAGGGGGCTTGTCCATACCACTATTTCTGCTTCAGTATCCTTATTTGTTACTTCTTGATATGTCCATCCTCTTCCTCCAGCTTTTAAGGACTAGTTAAACTCCTGATTCCTCAACAAAGCCTTTGATCACCCACATTGAACTCTTCCTTCTTGGACCATGCATTTAGTTTCTGTGTAGATACCCACTCAACACTTGATTGTACATGTTAAGGTAGAATTTTAAGGATTAGAGCGCACCTTAAAAGGTGGTGCTTATCAAAATTTAATGTGTATATGACTCACCCAGGGATCTTATAGATATAAAAATTATTTAATTTTAGTTAATAAAAACTGATTCTGTAGGTCTAAGATGAGGCTAAGATTCTACATTTCTGTCAGGTAATGTCAGCATTGCCATCCAGGGGCCACACTTTAGGTATCAAAGATGTCAGTGACTTTACCATTCCATGGAGTTCCTTCTACTGGCTCTCAGATAAGTGGGCATATACTACCTGACCACCATACTTCATTTGGCAGCCCATCCTACAGTGGGCCAGTTCAAGTGCCACTTTCAATGCTCACTCCTTCTCTTATACAACAATCCTCAAGTGTTTCTTCTTTTGTCAGTTTTCTCTGCCTTATGAGATTTCTGTCAGCCTTGCCTTCTGTCTTTCAGGAACCACTGCCTCACATTCAGTGGAAACCACTGTACCTCAGAGGGATTTCTCTCAGCTTTTCTGCCCTGCCCTAGCCTTCGGTATATTACCCCTGTGCTCTTGGGAGAAGCCTATGGGAAAAAGCTGGTAGGTAATCCATAAGTAAGCCCACATGCAACCTTCAAAAATTCTTTAAATGTTCAGCTGATTTCTTATTATTTCTGTCTGGTGGCTTTTTCTTTCTCTTGTCATTCTACTGGGGTGAAAGAGCTAGTGACTCTCAGGAATTTAGTTCTGATAGGTTTAAAAACACTGTGATTTTGTAGTTTAACCAGTTGGGTGGAAACCCAAGCTCCTGCTATATGTACACAATAATTATTTGTAAAATTAATAAATGACTCATAGACATTTATTTGTTTTTTACAAAGTTTACACCCAGAAATGTAATTCATTAGCCTATATAACTAAAAATAGAAGTTCAATAAATCAAATAGATTTCCAGTTTTGAAAAAGTGACAAAATTATATGTGCTCTATATTGTTAGTTTCCTTGTATAAACCCTCTTACAAAAAATTGAAAGATGTACATGGCTAATTTCGTGGTAACACAAGGTGCCTTTTGACATACAACTTTTTTTTTAAGTTTTGAAATGACTTTTGGCCCAGTAACAAAAAAATGGGGCAAATAAGGATAAAAAGTGGGCAGTTTTTAAAGTGTACTACTCAGCACCAATTGTAGTCTTTTCTTGATGGTAAATCATAATGCTTTCTCTTCAGCTCTGCAACCTACCATAATTGTAATCAGTAGCTTAAAAACATGACCTTTTGTGCTGTTCCATATCTCTTGAATTTTTACCTCTATAATAGTCAACTGAACCATCTTCTTGGAACACACATGAAAATGGAAGTCCTCGTGAAGAATATGCTGTGGATCCGCTCCATCTCCAGCAGTTAAATCCATTTGAAAGCTGTACTCTTTGACTATCTTCTGGACAGATCAGTCTAACAATATAACAGAAACAAGTTATTTTTAACTTTTTTATTATTACAGTTTTCGAATATAAACAAAAGTAGAATAATAGAATACACATCCATGTGCTCATTACAGAACTTCATCAATTATCATTTTGCCAATCTTGCAGAAGCAAATGTCAATTTTAATCAGAGATGGAACAGGATTTAAACTTTATGGAGGGCACTGTGAAAAGAAGTAAGTGTACTCTTTACCAACAGAATCATGGTAAAAGTAAACAGAGGCTTAATATCCTGAACTGCATAGAAGGATGCATCTTGCATGAAGGGAGATAGGATACATTTTATAGGCCCTTCTTCATCCTGATGGGAGAATTAGGACCATAGCTGCTATATTTGCCTATTCCTTTTTAGATAATAAAGTTAAAGAGAGTAGCAGAATCATTTTTATGCAGCAGTACATCAATGGGTTATATTACTTATAGACACTCTATTAGAATATTTGACATTGTAATTTTTGCTTTTAATATATTTAAACCTAGAACCCATCTTTTAATAAACCTCTACAAAAATATACATATTTGAGATAATTCTAGTTTTAATGTAAATATTCAAGTGTCTATAAAGAACTCATTTTTTTTTTCCAGCTACAGTCTCTTACTCAAATTGCTATGCTGTGTCCTTAGGCCTGTTAGTAGTGGGTAAATTAAAAGGAAGAGGGAAGGAGGAATCTTATCTTGACTGTCACCTGCCTTTTTTCCCCTTCCCTGTACACTAAGCAAGGTCTCTTTTGTCTAATCTAAATTTTTCCTTTGGGGGTCTCCAATAGATAGGAATACCTTTGAGCCATTTTAACCCTGTCTGCAGTAGCTAAAGATGGTAGGGAAATAAGAAAAAGTAGATGTGTTGAAACAAAAACTCCAATCTGATTTCTATTAATTTATTAAAAATCAGTATGGAATATCCTTTTACACTGAAACTTATACTTTCGCAAAAGATTCCTGCAATCTTTACTCCTCATTTGAAACTGAGTGACAAGTTGGGAGAAAAAGAAAGCCAATAAAAGGCCTTTTCTTTTTATGCCTTCTTTTGAATACTACAATCCTAAACCAGACCACCATCAGTAACAGAGACGTTCTCCTGAGGGAAGTAAGTTTTACTAACCATATCTTTTATCTTGTCCAATGGAAGACAGTGAGCTGGGGTTAGCATGTAGACTCATAATCATGGAATAGAACTAAGTTATCATAAAAGAAGTGAAACTTAAATTTCTGGCTTAACTGGTACCAACTGTTAGCCACTGGAAACCCAGGTACAGGTGAACATGATTAATCAATTTTGCAACTCCGAAACATAAGGGAGAAGTGACAGTTATTTCAAGGTTGTGGCCAGGACCTGCAGAGGTTGTATATAAACCCTGAATATGTGTGAAATTAGGAAACACATTTTTTTCTAACATGTTTACACATTAATGGTAGCAATTAGGGATGGGTCTGAAAAAGCTGGTTTCACATCTTAATCAATATTTACCTCTGACTTCTGCCTCTGCAATTGTCAGAGCCAAAGGTCCTGTGTGAAGAAAGTGAGGAAGACAGGTTAGATGTTGGTAGAAAAGTTATCAGAGAATAAAAGAACAGCTTCCAAAAAAAAACCAAAGGTAGCCTATATTAGGTTCAGGCCACAGTTCATATCTATCCAGGATATATGTAATTTTGTATAACTTGAGAACACATTCTAAATTGGAAGGAAAGGCACATAACTTTATCTCCATTTGGGTCTTCATCTCCCTTCTTGAACCTTCTCTATTCTATGGTCTCATTTTCTATTCTCTGCTCTCTCTTCCTGGCTTCTCGTTTTCTTTCTTTCCCTTTTTATAGCCTTCCTTTCTTGTCCTTTCCCTTTAGGATGTCATGATTCACATTTCTTCTTGCCTTAATGCTTCAGTGTCACTGAGGTCAGTGCTCTCCTGATGCTCCCCTCTAATAGCACAGATAGAAAATTAGTGAATGACAGGAAAAAAAGACTACTAGGTCGTGTATATTAAAAAAATCATTTTATAGCATATCTAAAAGAAGTATTTTTAAGAAATCCTTGTCTAAAAATAGTAGTATATCTTTTTCTGATATTTTTTACTTCTAGCTTATGGTCAAGAATTAAACCATCTAAATCTAATTTGTTATATTTACTTCAATCCTGGGGAATAACTTAAAGGTAAATTTCTAATCCACAGCAATCAAAATAAACCTTGATTATAAATTGAATCTGTACAAAAACAAATCTGAATTTTAGTTTTGGGTGATAATTTATACCGTTTTTGAATGTTCATACAAATACTCTAACTTGAAAAAAGTCTGAATGTTTTGTTGGAGTCCAGTACTGTCCCTTTCTGTACAAAACAAAATGACTCACTTATCTAAATACCAGTCAGGATTTATGTTATCAGGAAGTGTGTGGTCCTGAAAAGATCTAGGTCTCTGTAAGGATGTTTCCTGTTCAAAGTCCAAGTCTTCCAATAGAACCTGTTCTTGTGGATCACTAGGTGGGTGGTCACAGTAAGACATTTGCCTTGGTCTGGTTCCATTGTTGAAATCAAAATTTCTTAACTGCATTTGTTTTTGAAACTTTGGAAAGGATGGTAGTCTTTGTCCAAGACCTCTATTAACATATTTTTTCAATGGCATTTTCTCTGACAAATCATTATTAGAATGGTCATGTAAAGGTCTCAGTGTGTGCTCTGATACTTCATCAGTATATCTGAAACCTTCCAAATGCATTTCATCATAAGAACAGTGGAAATGGCAAGGTTTCTGCCTTTGAAAACCACCTCTACTGAGATAATTCAAACCTTGTACAGGTAATAGGTCCTGGTACTCATGGCGGTTATAGAAAGGTCGTTTTTGTCTCTGGCTTCTTTTAACGAAACCAAAATCTTTCGCTGGAAATTGTTCCCAAAAGTTACTATAGGCCTGATGGTTCTGAGTAGAATGCCTCCTTTTCCCACAAACTTTGCTGACAAAATCAAAATCATCTCCAGTATCTGCTTCATAGAAGTCACTATGAGGTTGGTGATCATGAAATGGTGTTGGTCTTATTCCAGGTAACCTGTTATTGTAATCTGTTTCCTCCTGGGAGACATTATAACATTGGTGATTAGCAAAAAATGAACATCTTGGTTCTGGTCCTTTGTTACTAAAATCCCAGTCTCTGAGGTGTCTCTCTTCTGGCATGTTGTCACTATACTGGTGTTCATAAAAATCCCGATGCCTCTGGGCAGGTCCATTGTTGACATAATCATAATCCTTTATCTGTACACCATTTTGAGGGTGCTGATCATTAAGAAGCCTTGACCTTTTTCCAGACCTGGAAAAAGCGGGGAAAGGTGCTATAAATCTTTAGTATTTTAACAATAAATAAAGGATAAATGCTATGCTATTAGAAAAATCTCTCTTTATTCAACAGCACATAAATTTGTTGTGATGTCCCCTAAATTGGGTTGTGCCTCATTTTAATTTTTCTCCTTTGTAGTTGGTTATGAACCCTAAATTCTCTCCTGCAACTCTCAACTTGCAAATTTCCAAACAAAAGTCTATTGGTGTTAATTTTTTTCTTAAAAACTGGTGAACAACACACTTCACACCATCTTTTCATTTAAAGGAATGTATCATAACCAGACCACATTTGCCACAATTTATCTGATGGGTTAAAGAAGTAACTTTACAAATACGCTGGTGACATGCTGGATTACTGTACTAACTTCATATCAGAAGAAATAATAAAAAACATGCTGATTTTTATATAATTACTCCTAAGAATGATGAATAAATCTTATAAAATATTTTGTATAAATATTACATTTGGGCTGTTTCCAGTTTTTGACTATTATAAAGTTACTATTAGCATGCATGTCAGGTTTTTGTGTGAACAAAAGTTTTTATTTATCTTGGATCAATGTCTAAGAGTGTAACTGCTGGGTCATATGTTAAATCCATTTTTAGTTTTCTAAAGGACTGCTAAACTGTTTTATAACCTAAAAAACACATCAACTTGAAATAGAGTTAAAAAGAGAAATATATAGCATTTAGAATAGAAAAAGATAACTATTAAAAACCGCAGATAAGATCCTATAATTGACCATAAGGTTAGAACTTTGTTTCCCAACAAGAACAAAAAGGAAAGTTTCATAAAAGCAAACAAAAATAAACACTACCTCCCCAATATTGTCTGAAAAACAAAACAACAGTTTCTGGCACTAACTCCTAAGAGAGATTTTCACAAGAATTTTATTCATAAGGAATAGAAACAAAATAGTTATTTTGAATTTTGAAGATAAATGCTTCATTAGAATGGGAGCGCAGAGAAATATGAAGGAAAGAGACTGTGCCAAGGTGGATCTGAAATACCACGGTAAGCTGAAGAGCTCTATATACCCCTGCATACATTTTATGCATATCCTGTGATGCTAGCTAATACCTAATACAGTGCTTGGCATTGCTCAAGTATTCTTTCTCCAGGGGAAGAAAAAAATCAGAACTGTTGAGGTGGCAAAATGCTTCATGTTTTGAGGTAAGAATTGAGGCTGTTAGAAGAACAGCCTATTAATGGCTATTCTAGCTTGTATTAATTCAGTTCACAGAAGGTAATCTCAATTTATTGGAAATAATAGTTACGTAATATTTCAGTTTGAAAAAAATAAATACAAATACTAAATATTCCTCATGATTTAAAACAGTATTGCATATTCTGAGATTAGTTTATAGAGAAAAATTGCAAATAAAGAAGAGGGCAAAAAATTTGTTTAGTGAAGAGAAAAAGGTTTCAAGATAATTTTTAAATTGCATCAGTTTATAAAAATGTATGTATATATATCTGTGTATACATATATACATGTAAGTCATACAAGAAGTTCTAGTACCATTTGATAGCCTTGATTCAGTTTCAGATATATTGATAGAATAAACACAAATTATTACTTAGAATTATAGCATTTTAAATTTTGAAGGGATCATAGAAATTACCTAGTTCAACATGTGCCAAATAGTTTGGTGAACATTAGTGTCCCATATAATGTTAACACTCATTCTGTTGAGGGAAAAAAGAGAGTTCTGTGCTCCAATAAGTTGGGGAAAATGCTGGGTTAAATAAAATTTACTAAATTTCTACTTCAGGAATTCTAAGGACTTTTAATAAGCTAATGTTCATGGTGATAGTAATCTATGTTTCCAAAACTTATTTGATTACAAACTCTTTTTAGTCTTGTAAAACTAATGATATTTCATGAAATACTGGTTTCATATCTGCTGAGAATACAGCATAAGAAAAGCTAACTGACCTAGAAGACCAGGTGCTATAGGTGTAAAAAATAAAAAAGTAAGGGATTGTAAAATGACAAAGTCTTTGCAATCTGTGAGGTCAAGTAAGGGTTGCCTTGCCTAAAAAATAAAATTAAAAAAAAAAAAAAGAAAAAAAGAAAAGCTCACTGATCTGGTCCAATTGCTCTATGTTACAAATTAAACAACAGTGGCCTGAAAAGGTTATGTCACTTGCTCTAGATTACATACAATTTACAAGTGGCAGAGCTAAGATTCGAATGCAAATTTCCTGATTCCCAGTCCTGTTAATTTTTTTTCTACTCTACCATCATTGAGAAATATGTTTCTTAACTTTTGTAAAATATCTAAAATCATGTTACTTTTACCCATGAAAGTCTTCATTTGGGTGCCAATCCCTGGATTCTTCCATAGAATTGGATGGGGGATTTGCATCGTCATCAGAATCCCAGACATCCATTCCAAGATTACTAGAGGAAAAATATCAATAAAAAATTTTAAATTAAACCAGAAACAAGGACACATAGGCACAAAATAAGAAGGAAAAAAAAATCTGCACACTGTTTGCATCTTGGAAAAAAATCTACAGATATTTTGCCATACTGCTTTAATGGGAAGAATAAAATTTAAGAACCATGAGGTAAAGGTCATCAGTCAAGTAAAATTTGGAGAGGATTTTCAACTGTTAGGATGTAAACATTATCTCCAATGACCAAGCAATCATAAAAAATAAGGGCTTAAGGAATAGGCACTATGAGGAAAGGGTAATAAAAGAGATAAAAGGGGAGAAGGAATAAGGGCAGGGGTACTAGAGGACTGAAACATCGGATTTCCCTAACTCTGCTCTTTCATGTGCCTTCTCTGAGGACCTATGCTTTCACCATAGGAAATTATCTTATTAGTTGATGCCTTTCTCTAGCACCATCCATCTATTCATTGACTCATCCATTCAGCAAATATTTGTTAGGGGCCCAAAATGTTCCAGGCACTGTTTAAACACTTAGAGATATATCCTAGCCCATATTTTAACATTTATGTCCAAGTAACTTGCTTGATACAGTTTTTAAATAAAGTGGGCACAGGCTTTTCCACCAATACTGCACCTATTAAATTAGCAACTCATGTGGTGGGACCAGGAATCTATCTTTTTAAAACATTTTCTGGCTGATTCTGCGATACTGACAAATTCAGAAACTACCATTCTAGAGGAGGCATCCCAAGGCTCCTCTTCTACGACATAGGTGACTGACTGATAATACCTGTATACTTAAAGCTTTTTCAATTTAAAGTAATTTCTTCCATGCGCTATGAGGCCACATTTAGGAGATGACAAAGTCTGAATTTTTTGATAGATAACAATGTAACTATGATTAACATTCTTTAGGATAATTTTCTAAAACTTCTGGATATACTGAACACAAAAATTAGTTATGGCAATCAGACTGTCCTAATGATATACAAATTAGTTCTTTTTTAGTTTCTATATTTAACGATGAGAGTTGTAAAAAAGGTTTTAATTTAAGATACAACAATAAGGTTTAAAATTTACCTTCTCATGGGTTGAGTTTTGAGATCCTTTAAGTAAACACATCCATCTATTCGATGACCACGGGCCTCACCAAAAGCTAAAAATAAACAAGAAGAATTAATGTTAACCAAACTAATGAAATAAATTATGTGACAAGATCCTTGGATTTCTGTAACCAACTAGCAGATTATGTAATAAACTGATTTATTATGGCAGCAGTGATGAGATTCTAAAAATTTACAGAGAAATATTTAATATAAAAATATTATTACCTTATTTTTTTTTTTGAGTAAATGGCTATACCGAAAAATCTAGTTAAAATGTATTAAGTTGAAAAGGTGCTAATAAAAAAAAATATATAGCAGAATAAAAAATAAAAAAGCATTATTATCCATATTTTGAGGTATATTCATTTACATGGCACTAGATGTTTTCATAACATTGGCCCTTGATTTTAGCTGAACTTTATAAAAATACCTTGAATTGCTGTATCTGGATCCCAACCTTCAACATCGATAAGGTACCTGAATAAAAACATCATTTCAATTTTACAGAATAGGTAAGGCTGAGTTTAAAAATTTTCTTCTACCATCTATATCATTCTTACCTACATATAAGGTATCCTGTTCTGTTAATTCCATTAGTACAATGAACTCCAATGAGTTTGTCTATAAAATGTAAAAAAACATTAAAGAGCATGAAAAAAATTGATACTAGTATAATACAAAGCATGTTTTATACATAATTTGTAATAATTTTCAATAAAAATGTCTACCACTAGTAGACTTCTTAGTCATTATATTTAAATCTAATAGGTCAAAGGAACACTATCAAAGATTTTGATAAGAAACAGGCTTTCTATGTTGACATTATAGTATTAAAGATGACTTTTAAGTTAATCAAATGACAAAGTTTATATGATATTCATGAATAACATGCTTCAAACATTATTCAGAAAGAAATAATTTAAAATTTACTTCTTTGATCTTAATTACCTTTGCATTCAATAAAATGTACTAATATTTTCTGGTTGCTAAAAATATCTATGACACCATTTCTCCTTGGAGGTACATTATCTGTTACCACAGTTGAAGAATTAAAAGATGATTCTACTGACCTCTGTGAATGAGCCATGATCCTTTCTATTCATGGCTGGGGTGACTTATCTTAAAGAGTTACCTTACCCTAGAGAAGATGGATTTTAAAAGGCACAGTCATCTCCTGGTTATTGTTTCTGAGAAAATTTTTTAGTAAGAATCATGCTCTAGATTTTTATTCTTCACTTGTATTTACTTTACGTTCACCCTTCCTATCCTCCCAATCCCCAGAGCTCAAGAGTTGATGTGCCACCTCTCCAGAGGACCACGTGTGAAGATTCAGGAAGCATTTGTTCAGTGTCTGCTAGGACACTGTTTTCAACTGACAGAAAGTTAAAACTCACATTTTTAAGTCTTTACTCTCAAATACAATAAATTTCTGTGTGAACATATTTAGAATGAGTTGATAATAAGAGATTTTAGAGACCTGTTTTCATTACTTATTGTGTAGTTTGAATGGAACAGAATTTATTTTTGTAGAAAATAACAGAACTAACTTATGGTCTTTTTATATGTGGAAAATGATCACTATCAGACTTAGAAACTTTTTTTGATATGTACATATTTTTTCCCAAATATCTCTATGTGGCTTTATAATAAAAAAATTTAAGGGGGAAGTTTTTATTTGAGCAATGATAGCTGAGGTAATTCGAGTTGAATCTAGTCAGCATCTTGATGAGTTCAGAGTCTAGCAGGGGAAGACACAAAAGTTAACAAAACATTTATCATGAGACTACAGAATAAATGTACACAGAGTTGTTATGAGAGTACATAAGAGAGAATCCTTATTTTCGCACTGAGGAAAAGAAGGTTTTAGAGGGAACGTTTGAAAGAAACATTTAGATAATCTTGAGAAATATGATGGAGTTTACCAAGTGAAGATGGGAAAACATTTCAAAAAAGAATGTGTAAAGGCAAGGAGTATAACACGTGTAGGAAACAGACATGTGAGATATATGTGAAACAGACTTAAGAGACTTTTAGAGAGGCTGTCAAGAATCAGGCTGTGAAACATCCTATGTCACCTTAAGGAATCTGATGCTTATTAGATGAGATGCCCCCGAAGGGAGTGACCTTATAAGATATGCATTATAGAAAGATAAATTGGTGGACATCTGAAGGAATGATTTGTGGGAGGAGAGACAAGAAATCTACCTAAGAGCCTATCACAATAATCATACCCCAGGTCAGACAGGATGAGAGTAGATCTGGGGAAGTAGGAGCAGGAGAAAAAAGATTAAGAGTTCAGCTTCTGACATGTTCAGTTTATTGGTGTCAGATGAACCCCGTAATGAAGATACTAGATGTCTGTGACATGGAACTCAGGATAAAGGTCTGTGCTAGAGATATAGATTTGGGAGCCTAAAGCTGAAGCCACAGGAAAAGACGAGACGTTATCTGAGTGAAAAGACGAAACAAAGTAATCTGAGTGAAAAGAGGACAGAATCTTTTTTTCTTTTTTCTTTTTAATCAAACCATTTCAGGGGCTTGGGGAAAGGGTCTAAGAAGACAATGAGATCGATGTTCTCAGCCAGGCTGGGATCTTCCCAAATTTGCAGTTGCCAAAAGCAGGACAGAATCTTAAGAAACAGTAGCTATAAAGGCTTTGAACAAAACAAACAATCAATCAAAAAATAAGACAGCTAGAAAACTGAAAAACATTTAGACAGGTAGAAGAAAAATAAGAAAAACAATATCGTCAAAGCCAAGAGAAAAGTTTTAAGGAAGTAATGAACAACAGGTTAAGCATAGAGAGATTCAAGCAAGATAGGGATGGAAAATTATTCCTTGAATTTCTACAAGCTTCTAACTGAACTATAATTAGAGGGTTATAGAAATCAGATTAAAAGTGATGAGTAAGACTCTCTAGTAAATGGGAATAGAAGAAATGAAAACAATGAGAGGAGACAATTCTTCTAAAAGCATAATTAGGAAAGGAAAGAAACAGAGTGAAAGAAGTAATTAAGGTTGCAAGATGGAGAAAAGGGTATTCTTTTAAGATTGGAGAGGCCTGCACACGTTTACATGTTGATATTATAGAGGTGAGGATAAATGAAAAAGTGTCCTGAAGGAAGTAGGATTGGAGAGAATATCCAGTAGAGGTAGAGGATTGGTTTGCTTTTCTTAGGAAAGCAAAGGTAACGAAGACTATAAAAATGTGGACACAGATAAGTATACCTAAATGTTCTCTATTTTCACTGAGAAGTGGGAAGCAGTATGTTACTGCTGCGAGCGAGGAAAATGAGTATGGTTGTAGAGGCAAGACATGGAAGCAACCGGGTAAGCTGACCCGGGACAGGGAGAAGACTGCTTAGCAGCACTGGGAACCCAGCTGAAACCCTTAACCACCAATCCGTGCCGTGCCGGCACTCACACACTGTGGAGGTATTTTCTCTAACATGCAAGGGAAGAGAAAGACGACTGTAGATTAAGCCAGCGTTGAGGATTTCCGTTGGAGTTTAGAGAATATTTCTTCCATTGGAGTTTAGAGACTATCTCTTAAAAGATCTATTGGTGACTAACTTTTGGGATAGGGATAAAAAAAGGGATGTGTATTTTTTCACCCTACATATGAAAATTGTTTTTTATCAACTTAGTTTTTAAAATTAAGAGCCTAAGATCATAGCAACGTTCTAGTATGCAAAGCATCACAAACTTTTTCGTATCATAGACTAAAATGCAACTTTTCACTGCTCAGAAAAACCCAGTAAGAACAGGGTTCTGATTCATTAAACCTGTCTCCCTTATATAAATAGTTGAACTAAGAGCAATTAGTCCCCTCGTCTCTCTGCCTAATCTTTGGAGGAAATAAGCTTACGAAGCTGTTTTTAATTTGCTGGAAAAGACACAGCAAAAATTAGAAGCTCTGGGTCCAGAATAAGGCTGCTACAGTTGGCATATTAACTATTCTGATAAGCCTAAAACCCTGAAAACAATTCTACTCCTTAGGCTCTTACTAAACAGCTGGTTAAAGAGGAGCCATTAGCAAGGTATCTGAAATAAATCACTTCACAAGAAGTAGGCTGGTCTCCTGAAATTCTTCTCTAAGGCCAGGAGACTAGGTAGGCAGTACTAATTTCATCCTTTTCTTTCTATTCATTCACCCCCAAAATGGGTTTCTTGTTCTTTTTATATTTCTGGGTGTAAAAATATGCTTATTTCAGGAGATTCATGCAGGTAAGTAAGGGAGAATTGGTATCTGTTGTAATCATGTAGCCCATGTCATTCATTCTGTGATAAGCAGGCACAGGAAAAGGACAATTGTAATGTTTTCTGGATACCTTTGTGCATTATTTATAAATATTATGTAATGAAACTGTCATTTAAAAATATCTTACAAGCATTTTGCCAAATCACTAAATATTCTTCTTTTACTTTGTTTCTAACATTTGTCTGGTATACCATATGTGTATGTACATGCCATAATTTACTAAACCAATTTCATATTAATAATCCTTTAGGAGCTTTCCAATTTTTCAATATTAAAAACATATCAATGGACATTCTCATAAATACATGTTTACATATACTTCTATTTGTTTAGAAAAGACTCCCCCAAATAGATTCATGAAGTTAAAAGGTTTTCACAAGTTTTTTAAGTTTTATCTTTCTTTTCTTTATAAAGTCAGACTGTACACCAAAAAGACTAAGATATACCTTACTTTATGCTATACATTCTTTAAAAAAAAAAGTTATTTCTAACTTATTTTAAAATACTGAATTACATTTTTATGTGTTCTGAGGGTATCAGCATTTAAGGAATGCTGTAGGGAATCTATCTGAAAAGCAAATACTCATGCCTCGACGTACTTTTTCTGTATGCTTTACTTTCCCCGAAGCAAGTTTTCCTAAAGTAAGGGACACGCACACACTGTAATGTCCGGGGAAATCTTTGATAATTTCCTTTTAACTTAAAGTATTTGAGCAAAACATGTATATCGTGTTTAAGTGATCTACAATAATTTCTGCTAAAATGATCTTTATCAATTAAGTAAAAACGTTTTGATGATATCAAAGATTGTTAATTACCATTTTCTGCATTTTCCCAAAGGAATTTTCTGACCCACTTTTTGAACTGCAGAATAGTAGCATTATCAGGGACTTCAAGTCCGACAGTGTAAAGTTTTTTATAATGAATACTTTTAGGTAAATCCTAGAAACAAAGGAAAATAGAATGCAACAATTATAAGTTATTAAAAACAAATTCTTCAATCCAATAAACTCACAATTCAGTATTTTAAAAATAGAGTACAATGACTAAATCGAAGGCATACTTTACATCAATATGTGTAGAACTCTTTTGTAATCTACATGAAAGAGACTATAAAATAAGCCCAGGTCCTAGTGGCCCGTGATAATCACTAAGTTAAGGATTTGAGTGATTAATCAGACACAGGGTCAACCTAATATACAAACTTAGAGTGTTCAATCCACAGCTGGTGTTAGAATTCTAGATGTCAGCTTAGGCTGTTTACTTAGCCTGTTTTGAAATGGTTACATGTTTCCCTGACTGATTCTAAAATTTGCAAGAGAATCTATTAAGTGGAGGCTCTAAGAATAAAAGGACTAATTTCATCATTTAAGTAAAATCAATTAATCAATTAACGACATTCAACTAAAAAATGCCAAGGTTGGCAATGAGTATAAATGTATAAGATGAGATCCTGGGAAGATTTAATATATTTGGAAAAATAAGGGATATCTGAATAGTTATATGATGAATAAAACAACTGGTTATGTGTGAGCAGTTCAGTAGCAGTGGTAAATGCTAGGCCTTGAAGAACACATAGATTTTTGGGAGCAGAAGTAGAGAGAAAAAAGTTCCAAGTTTATGGAATGATCTGAGGCACAGAATCAAGAATAGGCATAGAATGTTCATGAGATAGTGAGGAGATATACCTAATTAGAAAAGATGGTACACTGTAAGACTGAGAAGAGCAAGATGATTAAACTGGGCCTCAAAAGACAAGGAGAGGAGTTTACAGGCAGAGAGAACTGAAGACATTTTTTTTTTTTTTTTTTACAAAGAAACTGGAATTGGAATGAAAAATACGTTTAAGGACAACTGGGTAAATAAGGATGAAAAAGACTAGCTGCTGAAAAATTGGGTAAAAACCTGGAGAATCTGAGACACATCTCAGAAGAAAAAATCTATAGGTTTGTCCTTGACCTGATGTAGGGTACTAGGAACACACAGGACTGAAGGGATTTGAACCTGACAGGCTAAATAGTGGTGCTTTCAGGGGAATCAGGGCAGGTAGAGAGAGCGCTAATTTGTACTTTTGGGAAAAAGTGGTATGGAAGTAAAGAAACGATGGTATGTTTAGTTTTATGTTATTGAACTATATGACATGGCAGCAAGGCATCCAAGATAAAATGTTACTGAATCAGGGAAAAATGAGAGACGACATCTTTGATAACGCCAATACAATTGAACAGCAAGGTTCAAGAGTTATTTTCCTCTAGAGCAAGGTTTGAAAACTCTTGCTCTCCAAGACTGGGGATAGGGAGGGGACGACTGTCCCTAAGAGTGCTGATGGAGAGGGGAGGATGATGATGATGTGTAGTGGATTCCTAATCTCCTGCTTCAACCAGAACAACTCCCTGTTTATCTGCTTTACATAATAGGCTTCAGAGCAAGATAGAAATGACTCTGATGCTAAAGAAAGTTAAAAAAACACTGTTGTAGAGTAATACTTGTCTCACATTTTCTCTTTTTTTCTTTTACTTTCTTATCCATTATACTGCTCTTTTCCTTTATTTCCTTGCTCCCTTTTTCCTTTTCCGTTCTATATCCATCTGCATTTCTTTCTAGTTATTCTGTCCTCTTAAAATAATAAAATTTCATTTTTTTCCTCTTAGCACGATCCTGATTTTAGAAAAGGATACTATATGATTATGTGAAGGATTTAGATTTCTAAGAGATTACACATGAGAACTTCTGAAATTTATATTAAAATAACCAAGAGAATATCCCAATTCACTTTCCAAACACAATATTAAAAAGTCTTTTCTATTTCAAGACCTATCCATGATAATAAAATATATTTGTAACTTTACCTTAACTTCATAATATCTTGTGGTATATGTTAAATCGATAATTAATCCAAGCTCCACATTTAGTGCTTTTATTGCACTAATCAAGTCCTTTGGTGTAAACTTCTGGGTTGGGGTAAGTCTCTGATTAACTGCCTATAATGAAAAATGAACAATAAGGTTACAAAATAAAGATAAAATGTAAATACTTATAAAAGAACAAGGAAGTGAAAAAAACATAAGGCAAAAAGGACTGGTGAAAACTTTCATAGCTTTAAGAACACTGACAAAGCTTTTAACAAATTAGAGCTATGAGAAGAGCCTAAACACATTTACATATTTTGCTTCAGTAATTTCATGTCTAGGAAACTATCTTAAAGCAATTATCAGAAATGTGGAGGGAAGAGATTGAGTACAAGAATATTCACTACACCATTATTTATAATACTAAAAACACTTTATATGAAGGGTCCAAAACAAAGGATTACATGTAAATGCTACAATTAATGGAGTTTAGAAGAGCTATAGAAAAATATATGCCATTATAGCTTCTTAGAAAAATTCAAAGAAATTATGAATTCCTGGTTATTTTCTCAGAGCACGTTCAGCTTCCCAAGACATCAAGGGCTTCTTGGATGATCTAAACTGAGGCATGAAGAATGTGCACATAAGCCTAATCCACCAGGCTCTGCATCAGATGTATAAAATACACACACTGTATTTCTATAAAATAGCTTATAACTCTTATAGCAGTTCTGTCCAACAGAAATATAAGCTACAAATGTAATTTAAAATTTTCTAGTAGCAACATTCAAAAAATGAAAACATAGATGAAATTAATTTTAACATATTTTAACTCAATGTATCTAAAATATTATTTCAACATGAAATTAATAAAAAAATTGAGAATTTTACTTTTTAAAACTGATCCTTCAATATCTATTTACACTTATAGTACATCTCAACTTGGATTAGCCACATTTCAATTGCTCAAAAGCCATATGTGCCTAGTGGCTACCACATTGCATAGCATGGTCTTAGAGTATTCTCTATCTCCTTCAAAGAGTCATAAGGCCTAATGGCACTGGTTCTGCAACAATAACAAAAAAGAATTAATTAGAACTTTCTACATTAGCTAGAGTTTAGGTCAGAATCTATGGGAGGGCTTTCCTAAAGAACTTCAGGCTATGTTCATCTTCAGATATTCAGAAAGTGCCTCATTCAATTAATATTAATGAGTTTGGTTCTAATAAAATTCTTCCCAATTTGCAAAATTCAAATTTATTCTAGCTGGCATCTGTGACTTTCTATACAAAGATATTATTTTCTTCATGTAAAAAAAAAAGTTTAAATATGTTGGATGTCTTGTGACAGCCCTCCTTCCCTCTTTCCAATAGGAGAGACGGCTGTGATATTGTGAGAACTCTGGAGAGTCATAAAAAGTGGGAACAGTCATAGTTCCACCATTACCTTGTTGTATAACCTTAGAGAAGTCACTAAAGCCCTCTGGGCCCTGATTTACATATCTTTAAAATAAGGTAGATTGATTCTACCAGTGATTCCCAAAACTAGATGCCCACCATAATCACCTGAAGAAACTTAGAAAAAACAAAAAAGTTTCTAGATCCCACCTTGAACTACTGAAATAGTTCCCTGTGAGGTAAAGTCTGGGAACCATTTTTATGTTCACCTGATGATTCAGAGGCAGCCAGAAAAGGTAGTCTAAGACCAGCCTTTGGAACCTACTGTGCTGATTTACCCTTATATGCACTTTTAGCTCTAAAATTAGCTATGTAACCAGGTAGATAATTTCCTCTTTCAAATATCCTAATATGAAGTCCTAAGGCTGAATTAGCCAAAGAATATCATATCCGCTTTCTCATAGTTTGAGGCATTTAGAATAGACATTTAAAATGAAACGAGGCTTATTCTTATTCTCCATGTGTAAGTCTCATTCTGCTTCCAAAAACTGAATGATCTTTAATTCAAGGACTATATGTAAGATCAGAAATTAAACTAGTTGCAAATAAACGTAGCTGCAAATAAACGTATAAAGCAGACATTTCACTCCTGAATTACCAAGAGCTGAATATATACTGCTTGAGAGTATTCTCCAAGTCCTTCCTACACCTTTCTTTGTAATATCTTCCTCTCTACCTCGATCCTATGAAACAAGTTAGTTGGGAATATACTTTTCTCATAGGGTTAACTAGACTAGCTGATTTACATTTCGAACTTTTGCTCCAAAGGAAGAGGAGAAAGCCTCTATATCCTCTCATAGCTGATCAACCAAATCATCTGTCTCATTTCCCCCAAATGTCCAGAGTTTACAAAAACCTGCAGAGAATGGGGTGCTATGGTTCTGATGCCTATTAATCTGACCTTAGGTGAAGGCAGCTACCATTAATAAGAAGCTTATTAGGTGATTCACAAAATAATCCCATTTAGGGATGTAATCAAGGTCATTAGCTATACTAATCAGGAAGGGGAAAAAACCCTCAGAAATAAGTCAAAGTCTTGGATCCTGTTGCTGTAGCTATCTCTGTCAGCACTCTGCCATTACACCTCAGCACATTCCGTGGCATGTTGCAGCATCCTGTGGACAGCACCTGTGACTATCTACCTGAGAGCTTTCTCTGGTCTGCATGCACAGGGTAGCACAGAGAAGTTTTAATGCCTGCAAGAAAAGTCCTCTCAGTCAAGACAGATGGCAATCTGAGAATAATTACCCTAAGTTCCTCGCCCCTTGAGCTGGATAACTCTGAGGCATATTTATACTGTGTGCTCTAAAGAGATTGAACTTGTTCAGAGTGATGACCTGATAACACATTCTTTACCGATTTCCTTCACTTTCCGATTTCACGTCCCCAATCCCTCACTGGCACTGACTGGGATCACCTCCCTAATACACCACTTGAATTCAAAATCTTGTCCCTGGGTCTGCTTCTGGGGGAACCCAAATTAAGACCATTTATAAAATTAGAATCTAAAATACAGGTGGGTCTACAGTGAGAGTTACAGTGAAAGCACACATACTTTCACGCATGGAAAGTTACAGAATGCATCCTATTGAAACAATAGCAAAGGTCTTTGTGATTAAGATCAGAGGCTTAGAAACCATCAAACCACCCTGGGCTTGAATTCTAGTTCTGTTACAATTAGCTATGAGGTTTGGACAAGTTACTTTCCTCTCTAAGCTTCAGTGTCATTATCTGTAAAACAGTACTTGCATTATAGGATTCTTATGAGGATTAAATGGGATAATGCAAAATGTGTAATACAGGGCCCAATGTGTATTAACCTATAAAAAAACCGTAGTTAAGTGTATTCTTACGTTGAACTAGAGAAGTGGGATTCTGCTTCATTAAATGAGATCCAATGACTAAACTCTAGTCATCTGGAAAGGACTGCCTAGAGTACACACATGATATTCAGGCTAGAAGGTAGAGAAATGTAACTCCTGTCACTGAGGACTCAGAACATTTCAAAGGGGACGATCCTGCTTTGGTCTACTGGAATGTTTATGCATCAAATTAAGCCTGAAATAAAGTGTTAACTATGAATGGAAAATAATTTTGTAGATGAGTTCTCATTAAAATAATCTGGCAGGATTTTTTGAAATCAAATAGTAATCAGAATTAATCCAAGATTCTTACAGTATAATTACAACATTAGAATTAAAAGGGATCTTGGAACTGAAGCTCTGAAAAGTTAAATTACTTGTCCAACGTCACAGGCTAAATGGCAATCAATATTTTAATCCAGAAATTTCTATTCTTAAACAGTCACGATACCAGGCTGCTTCATTTGATTAAATATTCATTTTTCTCCCAAATACCAAAGTTCTAAGTTTCCATTATTATATTAAACAAAGATTATAGAATTTTTAAAATGTCAAATGTTACATATGGATAATCTGGAACTAAATCTATAATTTTGATCAGTGTCTATAAACTTACCAGCATGCTCCTAGACTGCTGTACCTGTTACTGCTTTCAATGGTATGTGCTGATAGTACGACAGGTTTGATTTTTGGATTATATGATTAATAAGAAAAAACTGCAGTTAACATAACATACTACAAAGCCAAATATATACATAAAAATTAATTCAATTTGGCAATAAAAATAAATGAACTACTAGTAGATGGTACAACATGATGAACCTTGAAATCATGCTAAGTGACAGTAGCTAGTCACAAAAAGATCACATATTGTATGATTCCATTCATATGAAAGGTCCAGAATATGCAAATACATACAGACAGAAAGTAGATTAGTGATTGGTTGCTAGGGGCCAGAGGGAGAAGAAAATGGGGAATGACTGCCAATGGGTACAGGGTTTTCTTTTGAGGTGATGAAAATGATAATCTGGAATTAGTGGTGATTATCACACAACTCTATGAATATATTAAAAATCACCAAATTATATACCTTAAAAGGATGAATTTTATGGTATGTGAATTAGATCTCAATATATAAAAAAATAATTTAAACATCACTGAAAAAGAAAGATGGCTTAAATTAGGAAGCAAGTATAAAAGATTTTGAAATGTGTGCTCACACTTTCCCAATGTCAGGGAAAGTGAGAGAAACTAAAGCTGCCATGATTCTGAGGTCATATAAAACATAGCATTTTGATTTTTTTAGGAAATGCTATACAATAATTTGACAAATCAGTACAAGAATGCTGATCTTTATGGGGTGGGTAGGTACTAAAAAGTTATCTATATTTTTGGATAACTTTTAAATAGATATCATGATGTAAAAAACAAAATAACACTAGGACTACAGCTATTTGCTCTCAAAAAAAGTATTTAATCTTGTTAAATGTTTTCAATAAAGTAAGTTTTAACCATTAAAAAAATATTGAATTTGGCAAGAAATGAAGTATGATGCATGCTTCATACTTTCAACATGAACCTTGAAAACATGATGATAAAGAAGCCTGTCACAAAAGACACATATTGTATCATTCCCTTTATATGAAATGTCCCAAACAGTCAAATCTATTGAAAAGAGATTGGTGGTTGCCTAGGTGATGGGAGTGAGGGAGAAAGGGGAGTGACTGCTACTAGGCATAGGTTTTTGTTTTTGTTTTTGAGGGGGTGATGAAATGTTCTAAAATTGTGGTGACAGTTGTACAAACTCCATGAATATACTAAACACTACTGAATTGTATACTTAAATAGTGAATTTTATGGTATGTGAATTATACATCAATAAAGTCACTATTTAAAAATTAATTCAAAACTACTCCTTTACACTAGCACGAACAATTAACAACTATATGTGTGAAAAGTTTGTTACTTCCATGTCAAACATCTGCTGGAAACTTGCATTCACATATTTTTACAAAGAAAAGCATAACATTAAATAAACATGGATCACATTAATTCCAATTCTCCTTATAAGATAGATAAGAAAATAAAATACATACTCCCTTTAAAGGAACTTTAAAAGCAATGAATCGGGTTCCAGGTAGAGGATGTCCAATTGGTGTCACAGTCCTCCACCTGCAATGAAAATAAACAACTACAATTATAACAAAAATATTTTAATGACTCAAGATGGTAAAAAAAGAAACCATTTTTTAATAAATAGAACCTAATTTGTTGGTTGGTTGTTTTTCTTGATTGAAATTTTAATTGCTTCCTTCCTCAAAAAAAAAAAAAAAAAAAATTAAGGTTTTACGTATGTGCAGCACTTCTACAGTAAATAAGGTAGCATCCATTTCCTGGACAAACTTTCAATATGCCAAATAATATTTTGTTATTTTCTTCTTCAACTGTAAGAGAAAGAAAATAGTTTACAAATTTTAGATCAATGACACTATTTATATATTAAATAGGTATTAAATGTGGGAATAAGAGTAAAATATGAAAACTTAATGTGTTTTAATAAACGGTTAAGAAACAAAATTATTTTTTCAATGTAATTATTTTGGAGATGTCTTGTTTTAATTTCTGAGTAATCTTGAATTAAGAACTACAGTTCATTAACTTTAAACATTTTTGTTTACTATGATGACTTTTTATGAATAACAAGGTAGAGACATCTGGATTTAAATTAATTTTGTTATATAATTATTTTCTAAGTTGTTTGATAAGTTCTAATTATAATGCATAAAGATTTCTTAAAATAAGCATTTTTAATCCCCTGTCTGCTTCTCTAGCTTCATTTTTGTACTATTTTTTCCTTTTCCAGGCTCTGGATTCATTCTTTTTCTTTTACTAAGTCCTTCCAATGATCTCTGTTATTCCCTTTGCCTACCACCAACCCCATTTAATGCTTTCAGTCACCCTCAGATTTCAACTCAAATATCAGTTCTCAGGAAAGCCTTTGACATCCATCTACTTACTCCTACTAGCCATACCTTTCACCTTCCTTCATGGCACTTAAGAGTCTGAAATTATACATATAATTATGTGATTTTTTTGACAAATGATGGTTTCTCTATCATAAACTCTGTAAGAGTGAATATGACAGTCTTCCTTACTCACCATACAGTGCCTACCACACCATAGGTGCTCTATAAATATTAAATAAATGTTAAACAAATTTGGCTTTATAAAACAACTAATGTACTGAAGTGCTTACTTCAATCAATATGGGAAAAAGTCACTGATATTTATTATATATACATATATACTATATTTTATTTATAGGTTAAAAAATTTCATCATAATCATAAAAACAAAGATTTAAGACTCTTGGAGTCAAATGTCACCTAGATACTGTCATTAAGCAAGATCACTGATTCACTGTCTTGTGTCCTCTAAACTCCTATGAGACTTAACTCTGTATCATGCTTTAGCAATTTAACATAATACTGTATTGGACTTTTAGTTAAATTTTATTACATTATTCCTCTACTTAAAGTCATCCAATGGTTTTCTTTTGCTTATGCAAGACACACAAGGCCTCTCTAATTGGCTTTTCTCACTCACCTGAGATCATATTACCATACTGAGCCACTTGTCTCATTCTAAACATGTGTTTTCTCTTGCTTCTGGCCCTCTGCATATCCGCTTTCCTTAGA